GCCTTGGTGGATGGATGAAAGACCCGAGCTAACATGGAGTTAGCTCGTTAAACAAACAATAAAGCCTTATGCACTATGCATCAAGCTTTTGCCTCTGCCTGGTGATTGGGTTGGCCGTGGTCCTGGACTGAGATTCTGGAGGCCTGAGCTTTCCGGAGGTCTTACAGCATGAGTGAACTTCACACATATGTGTGTTCTGTTGGACTTCCTGAGACATGGCAGAAGTTGATGGACAAATGGTTTTGTCTCCAAATAAAATTAGAAACCACAGATTTAAGGAATGTAGCTTCATATAGAGAGGGGAAACTGGATGGCCCTGAGCTCTACCTCCACATTGACTATGCTAGAAACTTCTATAAGATGCACTTCCCTGCCGGGCATTGGTGGCGCACGCCTTTAATCCCAGCACTCGGGAGGCAGAGGCAGGCGTATCTCTGTGAGTTCGAGACCAGCCTGGTCTACAAGCGCTAGTTCCAGGACAGCCTCCTAAGCCACAGAGAAACCTTGTCTCAAAAAAAAAAAAAAAACAATAACAAAACAAACAAACAAACAAAAAGATGCACTTCCTTGCCTATAAAGTGAAGAGCCCATTATCTACAGACTGGCCAATATTCAATGACAAACACGCTGTTGGTAATGAGCAGAAGGAACATTTTGCATTTCAGTGACAGATTTCTTAGAGAAACGAATTAAAAGGAGGGCACATTACTTTTGGCTTGATTTCAGGGGTGTTAGTGTAGTCGCTGGCTTCGTGGGTTTTGGGCCTGGGAGCAAGCACATCATGGTTGAGGGTGTACAGTAGCAAAGCACCCATGGTTAGGAAGCAGAGAGCAATGTAAGAGGCCAGGACAGGCTGCAACCTTTACTGCAGTTTCTCAGGTGACATACTTCCTCCAGTGAGGCGGCTCTTCCCAATAATATCTTGACATCAGTAATCCAACAAAGCATTAATTCATTAAGTCAGAGTCCCAGTGAAGAAGAAGGCTTGTGGATTCAAGATACCTTTATTCAGATAAATACCAGCCAAACACAAGCCAGACCGTGCCCAGAGACAGCAAGGTGGGAAGGCCAGAGAGAAGGGGCCCCCACGTTTCTGCCGCCCCTTAAGAACCTCACACACATCATCCTGACCTCACCTTGACCATGCCCTGACAGGTGTGGTCAAGCACACCTGTAGCCAGCCCTTAGGAGGCATGGTTACGGTGTCTCACTACAATCCAGAGATAAGATCATTCCTAAAAGCCAATTCGCTGTCATCAAGTCTTTAGCACAAGAACCATGGAAGATACTCCTGCTCAAACTGCAATGCACACCCAATGTTTTTAAGAGTCAAAAGGAAAATACATTATCAGGATTTGATTGCCTTTTAAAAAAATAAAATTAAGAGCTGGTTGGTGGTGGCTCTTGCCTTTAATCCCAGAACTCAGGAGGCAGAGGTAGGCAGATTTCTATAAATTCCAGGCCAGCCTGGTCTAAAAGTAAGTTCCAGGATAGCTAGGGCTGTCATACAGAGAAACCCTATCTTGGAAAACAAAAATAAAAAATAAAACTGACATCAGAACCCAACAATTATAAATTAAGGTGCTTTATTTTAAGTATAGTTAAGGGCTTAAGAAATGTAGGTCAATTGAACTATTTATAACAGGTGGTCTCATTTTTACATATTTTCATGGTTATCATTGTTTTTGTTTGTTTGGTTGGTTGTTTTTTTGTTTTGTTTTTGATTTTTCGAGACAAGGTTTCTCTGTGGCTTTGAAGGCTGTCCTGGAACTAGCTCTTGTAGACCAGGCTGGCCTCAAATTCACAGAGATCTGCCTGCCTCTGCCTCCCTAGTGCTGGGATTAAAGGCATGTGCCCACCAACGCCCGGCATGATTATCATTGTTAAAAATCATATTGTCCCAGTCTTAATATTTTATTAACTTTTGAAACACTAAAGCTGTGTGTCTATAGTAGTAACAGGAACCCAAATATAATTTCTTTGCTTGAAGAATCATTATTAATTGGAAAAGATATCACAAAACTAGATTCTACTGTAAATACTTTATCAGTTTTATATCTAAATAGCAGATAGTTTGTAACAAAAGTGTTATGACTTTGTTTTAAGTAGAGAAACTCAAAGCTGATGGTATAATGTCATTTACTGACATTCATTGGGGATTGGTACCTGGACCTCAAAGCTGCAATGATTCATGCACTTGGTATAAGATGGTGTGCACCTAGCATGTAATCTGAAAATCATCTTTAAAACATAAGACCAAGTCCAGGGTACTTGCATCTAGCTCTGCTTCCTTGTTAGAGTCTGAAATCTCAGAGTCTGAGCTGCTCAGCTCCAAGGCTTCCAGTTTCGTTGCAGGGCAGAGGCTAGGTTCCTCATCTCTCCTAAATTTACCGGGGTGTGACCGGTTATTCCCCATTCTTTCTCTCTCCTTCTCTGTCTCTCCCTCATCCAGCTGAGCTGTTTCTTTTAAAACTTTATCTCTTGAGCTTTTAGAGTTATCAGAGCTATCAAGATTTAAAGCTTTATACACTCCCTTGTCAGTAGACATTCCAGGAGGTCTTTTTTTCTTATTTGTTGTAGTTTTTTTTCTTACATACACTCCCATGTCACTAGACATCCCGGGAGGTCCTTTTTTCTTATATTTTATTGTTAGGCGCGCCCCATCTCTCACTACATTCGGTTTCTGATATGTAATTTTGGACTTCTTTAAGATTGTTACAACAGTGAGAAAAGTCAAAATAGCTCCTAGTAAAAGCATAGAAGCCTC